TTAAAATCTAAATAAGCATAAACTGTGTCATTTAAGTTATTTTTAGATGTAGGTGAAGCTTTCAGTTTACTTTGTATCTGTGGGAAAATTACTTTTCTTACCATGAGTATTGAATGTGAACGTTTATTAAAGCACGTAAAGGCAGAATCATAAAATACTTCAAACGAACAGACAAATAGAACATCACAGTGAAACTCTGAGATCAGCAACAGGTGGGACTTAAGAGGTATATATGGATAACAGCAACGGGTGCGGTGCTTTACACGTATTCATTGGATCCGGTAAGGCAAATCAGTAGACCAGAGTAGTAGAGATAGCAATTGAAGAGCTAATTGGGGGGAAAAGTAATCCTAATTACCACGCAAATGATCGATTCACCATTTGAAAGAATTTTTGATTTTCAGATTTGTAGAATCTTTTCAGGCGATGGAGCACTTCAGGTTGGACACGGGGATGTTTTCGTCCTTTTGTTTTGCCCAAGCAATGAAGTGAGCTATCGAGATGTCGAATGCAAGGGAATTTCTTGATTGGGTCTACTTGGAAGTTTCTTGGCTTTACCACTGAAATTAGATATTTTCTAGAAAGCAATTATTAACAACATCTAGATCTTTTCCGACCTGGCTCAAGTCCAAGGAAGCGCTCTGTTCGGCTAATTTCCAAAGCAGGTTGTGTTACTAATCGTTCTCCATCAACTATATGAATCTGCTCTAAGGGGAAATTGTCTAGCCATCTTTTCATATGTTTATGATAAACTCCTATTCGTATAGCACCCCATCCAACGTTAACTCCGCCCACTTTCGAGGAACAGTTTGTTCTGAGCCATGGAGCACAATTGCCAACGGCCATTTCTTCAAAACTTGGCATCACACCGAGTGCTTTTCGCTTTGACGAAGCTTGTGTGTAATCTATAAAAGGGAATTAGGGTAGGGTAAGTAACCTGTGAGTCGACAAAATACCTGATATCGCTCTCATCACTGGATCTCGTACCACTATGATGATTTTCATCGCTGGGTTTAAAGCACGTATTCGTTCGGCAGCGGTTTTGCTATGGAAATAGGCTGGGCTTTTCTCGATTGTGAGCTGGTCTTGAGTGGTTAAGGGCATTTTTCCTCTAAAATGATCACAACTTCGGTCATCAACACTGAACTTAAAAAATTTGGATTTTTGAGATTTTACGACTTATTTGCAATCATAAACGCAATTTATGTTTATTGTTGTGCCTATGCTGTATATGTTTATGCTTAGAATTATTACTTATTTGATACTCACAGCGCTGCCCGTAGAAATTACAAAACCCATAAAGGCTCCGTTTTTTACGGAAACCGACACGCGTTAACTGCGACTGGGACAGGATTTAGCTTTAGAGCATGGAAAGTTCCCATATTTGTATCACACTGGAAAATATGGTGACAAAAGTGAATATCGTCATTTGCAATAACGAGTTTAAATAATTAGTAGAAAGAAATGCAATAATATGTAATTCCAATGTAATAATATTGCTATATTCCCCCTCCCTACGTCCTTCCCACATCTTCGATGGCAAATTTTTTTCGCTTTAAGATTCCACATGGGATGAGTACTCATTTTAAGCAAACAAGGAAGCAAACGGAGGAAAAAACTGTTAGAAGAACTGAAAAAGTCGTCTTAAGTCATGCCTGACCCTGATCACGGCAGACCTCGGACTGGTTGTCTTTGTTGAAACTTTGAAAAATTGTCCTTGTCCTTGTACAAAGACGAGGAGTGTGCGGCTACCAAAAAAAAAAAACAACTTGTCAAAGTGGACCACTGCCAAAAACTATGGATTATTTGGTTTGGATCTAAAAAACCTAATAAAGCACACTTGAATTTGCAGAATCTACTTGGACGTATTTATATTCGTCACTAATGACTAATAAATTGCGTTATAAAAAAAATTATACCA